GCGGGCGGGCGGGCGGGCGGGCGGGCCGGGTTTCCCCCCTCGGCCCGGGCCGAGTGCCGGCTCTGGCTTCCCCGGCGCGCTGCCCCTCCCTGCGGCGAGCGCGGGCGGGGAAGAGAGAGAGAGAGAGCGAGAGAGCGGCGGCAGCTGCCACCTCGGGTGCCCGGCCTGGCCGAACTAGCGGAGGCGGTGCGGGCCCGCGCGCCCACGCAAAAAAGTCATTTTAGACGGGGCCGGCCGGCTGCCCTTTTGGAAGCGGATCCCCGGCTCCGACAGCTGGGCGGGCTAAAGTGGGAAAAGCCACAAGTCCCTTGGGACGCGCTTGGGCAACGCCGCTTCCACTCGGAAACCCCCGTGGGGAGTTTCCCCCCGCGACTTTTTTTCCTGGAGTGGGCAATGGAGACCCCTTAAATGGCTGTGGATGAAGGGACGGGAAAGCCGGTGGCTTCTTGCAAAACTGGGAAGTGAAAAGAGACTGGCTTGCCCGCGACTTTTGCTGGAGACCCCCTACTCATAGGAAGGTCTAGGGAGAAGGGTGCTCAGGGTGGTCCAAAGACTTCCTTCTTCTGCCCACCCCCAAGCCCCCTTCCCACTTCACCCCTCTGGGTGCTAAGCAAGAAGGCGGAAGACCCTGGGTGGTCTTGGTTTGGACAGGCGGGGCGGGCGACCGATAGGAAGGGGATGGCTTGGAGTGGGGGGCGAGGAAGCCCATTCTCAGCCCTGGCCCGGCTGTTGGGGTTCCGGAGGGGAATGCGGGGTTCCTAACCCCGAGGTAGAAGACCACCACTGCTGGCTCTCGCTGTTCGCGGGTCCTCTGGATCAGCACAGCGGCTTGGGTGGTTTTAAGGGGTCTCCGAGGCAGGAACTTTCCCGGGGCAACGGGGGTGGGTGGGTTGGTGATCAGCGGTGGGTGGCAGCCTCTGCCCCGCAAAAACGAAGGGAATGTCGGGTGCCCCGCTGAAACTCGCCTTCTCCGAAACCTCTGGTCAGGTCAGGCTTCAGGATCTCTTCCACCCCGGCTCCTGCCCTCTCTGGAAGTTGAATCCCGAGCCCGCAGGTCTTGGGAAGGGAAGGCGGCGGTCCTGAGGAAGGAGCCTTCCCGTCCATCCCGCTGGGTGGGAAAATGTCGAAAGAGAGCCAACCTGGGGAAAGCGAAACCCTCCGGATTTTGGTGGCACGCAGTGACGTTGGTTTAAGGCATTGTCTTTACTTCTCTCAAACCAAAATGTTTGAGGACTCGCAGTTCACTTTTTTCGCAAGATTTTACACCCCCTGCCTGTTTGACTTCTCCCTGTAGGAGAATTGTTGTCTTCTCTACAAGACCCCCGTCCATAAAAGTGACACAAAAGTAGCCCTACGATTTCCTATTTGATTTTATTTCTTCCTTCTCAGATATAAAACATCTCTCTCTATTCTCCCTGCCTGCCTGCCTCTCCCTCTCTCTCTCTCTCTCTCTCTCTGTGTATGTATACATATATCTCACTATATCTATCTTATCTATCTATCTATCTATCTATCTATCTATCTATCTATCTATCTATCTATCTATCTATCTATCTATCTATCTA